GCTTGGAACCCTTTTCTCCCTAATGTTCAAAATGGTTGTTAACTAGAACCCCTATTCCAGTTTTTTGTTGTTGTTGTCAAAAATTCTGCTGTTGTGAGTCAAGATTAAATTTAGCAACAATTTAATGAATTCATTAATTTAACATGTATTTATTGAGCAATACACCAACTCCTACATACCAGGCACCATACTAAGGCTAAGGATACAATAGTTGACCAAAACAAAATCTCTGCTTGCATGAATCTTATAATGTGGTGGGAGACAGGGTAATAAACAAGTAAAAATACAATAGTAACAGAAAAAATAAAGACAGGAAAGAGTGATGGAAAGAGAGGGTGCTATTTTGCACCAAGATGGTTGGGAAGAGAACTCTTTTAAAAGAGAGTTCTGAAGGAAATGAGATCCATATGAACATTGCAGGAAAAAGTAAACCAGAAGAGGAATCACATGTATAAGGTCCTACGTAGGAATGTATTTGAGGAACAACAAACAGACTACTATGGCTGAAACAGCATAAGGAAGCAAAGAATGGTTAAGAGAGAATGTCAGAGAGGTTGTGGGAAAACAGATCAGATAGCATTTGTAGGCCATAGTAAAGATTCTGGCTTTCACTGGAGATAAAAGCTATTAGAAGATTCTGAGTAGACTAATATTGGTGCCACTTTTTTCCAACTTCTATGTGTATATACTTTAGGAGATTAGGGTGAAAGCAGGAACACCTAATAGGCGACTACTGCAAAAGTTCAGAAGGTAGTTTTATATAAAATGATTCCTACTGTAATATAGGTATAATAGGCAAAAACTGGAAACAACCAAAATAACCAAAAATAATAATGGTAAAATAAATTAGAGAAGCATACAAGGTATGGAAAGAATTAGACATTAGAAGAGAATATGTACTTATTTATAATGCTTTTTTTACTCCTTGTATCAAACACGTTATAAAACACATGAATTGTAATCTAGGTTCTTTTTTGCAATAAAAACATGAAGTGCTATGACAAAACCTGAAACTATATTCACTAAAATGTTAAGAGTGATAATCTATGGATGGTTAGATTATGGCTTTCTTTAAATTTTGAATATGTGTTGTATAATGTTCCTATCTCATGTGTATAATTTAACAGTTTAAAAAAATAAAGCAAAACATCCAAGTTACACTTACTCTCCTGTTGCCCATCTTCCCCGACCCTTTAATCCCAGGGATAATAACATTTCTTGAAACTGTCATCTCAATAATAATTTCAACCACTGATGGAGAAAACTCAGGAAAATTAAAGAATAGACACAATCTGTTCACACTTACAGCTCCACTAGTTTTAGTGAGCTATATCACAGGACAAATGGAGTACAAATCTTTGCCCAAGAACCTCCTGCCAATGTGGATAACACAGCATCCTACACATGTGAATAGAAAGCATTAACTTGAAGAAAATTTTAACACCAAAAATACTAACTTATATTAGGGGAAAAACATCTTACCCCTTTGATTGGCCATTTGCCCGGTTTTCAAAAAACTTTATCTCCAAAATATCATTTACTCCCAAAGAATGCACTGCTTCAGTTAAGTCTTCATCTGTTGTCCACTGCAAGACATTTCCCCCTCGTTAACCATTAAAGCATATCCAAGATTTTTACTGCTTCATTTTTTTAAGGGTAAACTCACAATAAAGAAAATTAATGCTCAGTTCAAATCTAAGTGCAGTTGCTGCAAATTAGTCTTCAATTTTTAAATAGCACAAAAGTACTTGAGGGCAAAATGCATTCCTTGATAATTTTCAGAAATTAGAAGATACATATCTTTAGAGATAGGATAGTAGGTTTTTTTTTTTTTATCTTAAAAAGTTTCTGGTCTCTTCCAACATTAAATTGCAAAGATTTAATATTTTAAATAAAACTAGTATCACTTGTCACTTCCTCTCCTTAAAGGCAACCATTTGGGGAAATAAATTCCGTTTAAAAATATAGCCCTAACTGGTTTGGCTCAGTGGATAGAGCATCAGCCTGCGGACTGAAAGGTCCCAGGTTCGATTCCGGTCAAGGGCATGTACCTTGGTTGCGGGCACATCCCCAGTAGAGCATGTGCAAGAGGCAGCTGATCGATGTTTCTCTCTCATCAATGTTTCTAACTCTCTATCCCTCTCCCTTTCTCTCTGTAAAAAGTCAATAAAATATATTTTATTTTATTATATATATGTATGTATATGATAAAAAGAAAAAAATAACATGTACTGAGTACCTACCATGTACTTTATATCAAATATTTAACTCTTAAACAGTCTTATAAGTCCTATTATTATTCCCATCTCACATACGATGAAAGAAAAGTTAACAAGCTTGCCTAATATCACAAAACTAACAAATGGAGGAGTCCAGATTCAAAGGTGTAATTATCAACCACTCTCCATTACTGTACTGTTACTGTCTCCAATATTATAAAACTTCTCAGATTGGGTGGTAGAAGACCAATCAATTCGTGTGTGTTTTAATATAAATATTTTAAAAGAAAATGCTATTAAGGAAGTTGAAGAGTGACAAGTATTTTTTTTAAATTGAATTTATTGGGGTGATATTGGTTAATAAAATTATACAGGTTTCAAGTGTACAATTCTGTAATACATCACCTGTATATTGCCATGATTTTCAACCTTTTTCATCTCATAAACTACCAGAATTCGATAGCATACCAAAATATATGCTTTTTTGCCGATCTGACCAAAAAAGGGTATTTTTTTGTTCATTCACACCAGATGGCTATTGTTGTGTTGGCTGTTGTCATTTTTTTCCTTTGACAATCTAGGGGAAAAGAGGTCAGTGCACCTGACTAAATAATCGGGTACTGTATGTTTCAATATTCTTGTTGAAAATTTCTGGTATATTGTATTATGTATTCACCACCCAAAGTCAAGTCTTCTTCTGAGGAGTGACAAGTTTTGATTTCTAGACAATTTTTTAAACTTTCCAGTATGTATAATACACATTTCAAAGTAGAGATAAAAATTCTATAGACTTGCTCTAGTGCAGAGATGGCGAACCTTTTGAGCTCGGCATGTCAGCATTTTGAAAAACCCTAACTTAACTCTGGTGCCGTGTCACATATAGAAATTTTTTGATATTTGCAACCATAGTAAAACAAAGACTTATATTTTTGATATTTATTTTATATATTTAAATGCCATTTAACAGAAAAATCAACCAAAAAAATGAGCTCGCGTGTCACCTCTGACACGCGTGTCATAGGATCACCATCACTGCTCTAGTGAGTATTTAATGCTAATAAAATTATAAATAGCTACATTAAACATCCAGTTAATGAAACTCCGAACCACTAATTTTAAAGTCCCATAAATGCAAATTAAGATAGAATGTACAGATAGCCGTATTTCCATAAATAAGATTAAAACGCTAAGAGAAGCCCTGGCCAATTTGGCTCAGTGGATAGAGCATCGGCCTGCAGACCGAAGGATCCTGGGTTAAATTCCGGTCAAGGGCATGTACCTTGATTGCAGGGCTCTCCCTGGCTGGGGCCTGGTCAGGGCTCATACAGGAGGCAACCGATCGATGTGTTTCTCTCACATCAATATTTCTCTCTGTCTTTCCCTCTTTCTCTAAAAAATAAAAGAAAAAATCAATGGAAAAATATCCCTGGGTGAGGATTAAAAAAAATTGTAATAAAATAAAATAAATTGTACTTCTGTATACTAGCAACCAGCAATTAGAAATTAAACATTTAAAAAAAATTTAAGATCAGAATTTAGCATGTTCTCCATTCTGTGAGTATTCCAGCATCTTCCCCTTCTCTCTCTCTTCTTTCCCCACACGCTACTAAACTCTACGGGACCTAAACTCTAAGAGACCCTCCCCAAGATTTGCAACCAGAAGAGCAAAGGGCAGCAGCAGCTCGTCCAGGAGTAGCTCCCTGAACATGTCCCCAAAGCCCCTTTTCTCTGACTTCTCAATGAACCAAAACAGCCCAGCCTAGGTTCTCTCCTGTTGCTTCTTCTATCCTAAGCCCCTCCTTGATTCACTGTCCCCAGCTTTAATAAATGTACTCAAAATAAGAAGAGAGCAGAAATTAAAACTCTGAAAGTTTGTAACAGGAATTAGATAATGAAAACTTTAAAACCAGGAGTCATACTGTGTTTCTTTCTCTCTTACAGTTCTGAATCCTAGTTTGAGACCTTATGTAGACATTTTTCCTTTGTAAAATTGAGATAGCCGACATTTAGGAATAGGTAAAAATAACTGATTTGAAGACAAAATAATTGAACTATATTTAATTGGGATGTCTACCAAAATAAGTTGAATGACTACCAAATTAAAAACTAGAAGATCTGAAATTTGTTTTAAAGTTACTATTATTGCTCTCCTAATTGTATAAGCAAGCACATAGAAAAAAATCACTTTAGTAACTTCAAAGTTAACTGCTAGAATAGCTCAAAATCAATTACCAATTCATATGGTAAGTTTACTTACCCATGTTAGATTTCCAATGTATAATGCAATTCTCTTTCCCGTATATGTATAGACAACATTTGGTGCTGCTCCTTTACCCACATCATCACCAACAGTTGGTGGGAGAGTATCCATGTAATCCCGGTCTTCTGGGGCATCTCCATTATTTGCGGATGGAGAGATGACATCATCATACAAATCTATCTGATCATGCCCACCATATTCAGCTTCCTGGATACAAAAATAATGTTTTTAAGTCATACAATAGTCAGACTACTACACTAAAGAGATTTGAATATAAATTCATTCAACTATTAATTTAAAAAAACACACAATTTAATTCAACTATTTGTTTTTAAAGTCTTGTAGAAGATAATAAAAAAAAGGCCAAAAACTTTATGCCACATGTTTGTTTTTTAATTTACTGATTATAGAAATGTTGATTTCCACTTATTTATACATTCATTGATTGCTCCTAGTACGTGTCCTGACTGGGGATTGAACACACAACCTTGGACAGTGAACTAAAGCTACCCAACGAGGGCCAAACTTGTATTCTTAAACAGTACCTATAAAGTAAATGTCTATACGGTGAAAGCTATTTTTCCACTATTTATTATAACATGGAAAATAATGTTCCTCTTGGAAAAGAATGACATGGACTCATAATAAAGTACTAATGTAAAACTTTCCTTAGAAGTAAAATACTCTGAAAGTGAAAGTAATAATACATGAATTAATACAAATAGATGAGCTTTTTTTAAAAAAAATTGACACACACAAAAAAGACAAAAAAAGAAAAAATCGACACAAAAATATCAAAAACAAATATCAGAGCCATTACAAATATTTAACTGAAGAAAAACACAACTATTATTTTTGATGGTATTCAAGATCTTTTTTCCTAGCCCTGCGAAATCTTTTAGTTTTGGAGGAAAAGTTTAGTGAGCTAAGCCATAGGGAAGGAATGATGAACTGTGGGCATGTAAATAATTCTGAAAGTTATAACAAATGAACAAGGGAAAGATAAACAATACATAAAACACAAGTAAAGCTATACAAATTACTGTCTAGCAATAGCTTTATTATTCTCAGTCAACAAAGAGTTAATGCTTACCTGACTTAGATTAGCTAGTCAATTAGCAAGAGAAAACGGACCTTGGAAAGCTGTATCACTAACAGAATTAAAGCAATGCTAGTGGATGCCACTTACATGCCTAAATAAGCAAGGAAGAGGGAAAAAAAGAAACATATATAAAGAGAAAAACAAAAAGGGAGGGTTCAATTTTAAATAAGCCCCCCGCATCCCCAATTAAGTGCAGCTATTGGCAGAACACTCAACACCATTTAAAATTTCCTTTGGTTCCCTAGCTGGTTTGGCTCAGTGGACTGAGTGTCGGCCTGCAGACTGAAGGGTCCCAGGTTCGATTACGGTCAAGGGCACATGCCAGGATCCCCAGTAGGGGACGTGCAAGAGGCAGCCAATCAATGATTCTCTCTCATCATTGATGTTTCTCTCTCTCTCCCTCTCCCTTCCTCTCTGAAATCAATAAAAATATATTTAAAAAATAAAATAAAATTGCCTTTGGTAACCATCATTGGGCCACAGGCTTAACTAACCTGTATCAGAGGAAAACGTATTTCCATCTTTCTGCCTTTCCACCAAGTACCTAAAATCAATGTGAACTATTTTATTCTTATGATGTAGAATGCTGTAAAAGTAGGTTTATAGGTGTTGTATGAAAAATATAGTAATTAATCAATACCATAAAACCTTTCACGAACTCACAACTGTAAACCTATTTTTGCCACACCCCGTATCTGTGACAATAAAGAGAGGCAATCAATTACAAAACAACAAATGCAGACATAATAACTCATATCCTCTCCCATTAATACAATTTATTAAGGATGAACTGTTATACAAATGGCACATTAAGAGGAGCAAAGTTTAGGGACTATTACATGGATAGAGAATGACCTAAAGAGCATTGGTAAAATGACTGTAAACAGATTAACAAAGTATTGTTATTATAGGCCCCATAGGAACATAGCTATTACTTTGTTGTTCAGAGGAAGCTAGAGCAAAATTTTAAAGAGAAAAAGAAAACCTAGACAGGGAAATACCATTTAGACACATGGCCAAAGGGACCTGAAATTTGTCAAGTCGTCTTCAGGTAATCTTCTGCATGATAAAGTTAACCAATTTACCAATTCTATAACAGAATCTTTACATAACAATTTTGTTATGAGGCAGAATGTAAGACATTTAATAAGGGGCCCAAAATCTTAAGGTAGGTCAACGAACAAAGCCATCTTTAGCAATAGGCAGAAACTAAGACAAGTCACAGAATAATGCCATAAATTTGTTGGTACAGCAACATCAAAATAATCTTTCAGAACTGAGTTTTTGTTAAAATACATGTTCAAATTGCAGTAACAGAAAAAAGGAGGGTGAATTTTGTAATGAAGTTTCAGTGTAGCTGAAGCTTCAGGTGACATAGTTGCGGCAGTGGTTCCATACACCTGAGATACTAAAAAGCTTCCCACAAGAGGTTGTGGGCACTGTAAACTCTTTTGCAATCCAGTTCTGTACCTCAAATATAATCCTATCTAATAAAAGAGAAATATGGTAATTAGCCATACCTCTGCTACCCTTCCCATTGGCTAATCAGGGCGATATGCAAATTAACTGCCAGCCAAGATGGCAGCCGGCAGCCAGGCAGCTTGAAGCGAACATGAGGCTTGCTTGCTTCAGTGACGGAGGACTCCCAACGTTCCCCGCCTGCCGCTGCCGGCCTCTGAGCTTGCAGTTTGAAACAATGTTACAAATATAGAAGCTAAACAAAACCCCAGAAACCTGCTTTCAGCCAGCCGGGATCTCAGAGCTGGAGTTGAAACAGTGTTTCGATTCTAAAACCCAAACAAACCAAATACCGGCTTTCAGCAGCCGCGGCCTCAGAGCTGGAGCCAAGCGTCAGAGCTAAAGCTGGCCCAGAATAAAAAAAAGAAAAAAAGAAAAAAAGGAGTGGTTGGGAGCTTCAGTCACCCACCAGCCTGAAAACAGTCCTCAGCCACTAACCCAGGCTGGCCAGGCACCCAAGCAGGACCCCCACCCTGATCCAGGACACCCTTCAGGGCAAACCAGCCGGCCCCCACCCGTGCACCAGGCCTCTAGCCTATATAGTAAAAGGGTAATATGCCTCCCAGCACCAGGATCAGTGGAGCCACGAGGCCTCCCAGCACCGGGATCAGTGTGACAGGGGGCAGCGCCCAAACCCCCTGATCACCCTGCGGCTCTGTGTGTAACAGGGGGCGGGGCCACAACCTCCCTATCCGCCCTGCTCTGTTCGTGACAGGGGAAAGCACCCCAACCCCCTGAGCAGCCCTGCTCTGTGCCTGATAGGGGGGGAACTCCCCAACCCCCTGATCACCATGCGGCTCTGTGTGTAACAGGGTGCGGCGCCCCAACACCCCCCCCCCCCCGCGGGCCCTGCTCTGTGTGTGACGGGGTAGAGCCATAACCTCCCCATCGGCCCTGCCCTGAGTGTGACAGTGGCGGCGCCCCAACCCCCTGATCGGCCCTGCTCTGTGGGTGATAGTGGGCGGAGCCGCAACCCACCCACCCCCCACGGGCCCTGCTCTGTGTGTGACGGGGTAGAGCCATAATCTCCCCATCGGCCCTGCTCTGAGTGTGACAGGGTGGGGTACCCCAAACCCCTGATCCGCCCTGCTCTGTGTGACAGGAGGCGGTGCCCCAACTCCCCTATCGGCCCTACTCTGTGAGTGACAGGGGGGAGCTCCTCAACCCCATGATTGGCCCTGCTCTGTGAGTGACAGGGTACGGAGCCCCAACCCCCCTGAGGGGCCCTGCTCTGTGCGGGACAGGGGGGAGCTCCTCAACACCCTGATCCGCCTGCTCTGTGCATGACAGGGTACGGAGCCAAACCCCACTGATGGGCCCTGCTCTGTGAGTGACAGGGGGCAGCATCCCAACCCCGATTGGCCCTGCTCTGTGCGTGATGGGGGTGGCGCCACAACCTCCCCATCGACCCTGCCTTGAGTGTGACAGGGGGTGGTACCCCAACCCCCCAATCGGCCCTACCCTAAGCGTGACTGAGGGTGGCATCACAACCTCCCGATCCGCCCTGCTCTGTACATGACAGGCGGCAGCACCTAGGGACTGGGCCTGCCCTCTGCCACCCGGGAGCGGGCCTAAGCCAGCAGATCTTATCTCCCGAGGGGTCCCAGGCCAGGCTGAGGGACCCCCTCCGGCCGAGTGCACAAATTTTTGTGCACCGGGCCTCTAGTAATAATAATAATAACATTAGTATTGTTATTATACAAAGGGAGTTGTGTTTGCTCAGCAGAGACTATAATCACAATATAAGGCCTGAGAGAGAATAAGTTTATACTTTCACTAAACATGTTAACACATTACTTGATTTTTCATTGGTTGTAAATCCAGGAAAATGTTAACATAAACAAAAAATTCCTTACAAGCATAATTGCAGCTACACTAACCTGGTGAATCACAACCACTTACTATTTTTGTCCTTCCATGAATTCCTACGTTGAAACCAACCAATTTTCCATATTGATATGACTTCCAGTATTTTAGGATCTGCCACTTTGGATGGACTGCTTCCAATTGGTTGAAGTATGATGCTAATTGAGACCACGGTCCTGGGGTTCGATTTCCACATGGACTAGTTAACTTTGCTCTATTTCAAGGCCACAGACTGACCCTCTAGCCCCAAAGGTACACATTTGGATATGATGAAAAAATACTAATGCATCTAAATACATTTGTCGCTCTTACCAAAATTCAGCTCAAAGCGCATACTCATTTGTAGTATTAGTAATCTTCCTTTTCAGCTTAAGTATCACACATTAAAAGAAATATATAGAACATATCCTACTTTTTAAAATATATTTCTTTATTGATTTCAGAGAGGAAGGAAGAGGGAGAGAGAGATAGAAACATCAATGATAAGAGAGAATTGATTGGCTGCCTCCTGCACTCCACCTACTGGGGATCGAGCCTGCAACCCGGGGATGTGCCCTTGGCCGGAATCGAACCCGGGACCCTTCAGTCCGCAGGCCGACGCTCTATCCAATGAGCCAAACCGGCTAGGGCACATATGCTACTTTTTGTTCCCACTTTAAAAAGAGGGGAGAAAAAAAAACAAACCAAGATGGCAGCACAGGTAAACACCGGAAATTGCTGCCTCTCACAACCACTTCAAAAATATAACTAAAAGACAAAACGGACATCATCCAGAACCACAGGAAGGCTGGCTGAGTGGAAACTCTACAACTAGAAGGAAAGAGAAAAGCACATTGAGACTCAGAGGAGGTGCAGAAGTAAAGTGCAGAGGTACAGAGGTGCACGTGGAAAGGGCTAGCAACTGAGGACACGGTTGTCTTTTTCAATCGGGAGGGAGTCTCAAGCTCCCAACTGCTCTGAACTCCAGTTCCGGGCGAATCTCTGGGGACCCAGACTCATACGGGGAGAAACTGGATTATCTGGCAACAGTCGGAACTTGAGGGAGGCTTTCTCTCAAAGGTGCTTGCAGCGATTACCAGGACACTGAGACGCAGGGCCTCTTAGGGTAGGACTGAGAGAAGCCATAGCTGCTTGCTCCGCCCTGTTGATCCCCTGAGACCCTGCCCCACCCAAGCTGTGCCCAGAGGCTTTTGCATATGAAAGGCCTGGCCCTTTGCAATCTGATAATTACCTAATAAACTGCAGCTGGGTCAGAGAGACCCAGAACATCCAAAAGAAGGCCCAAGGCCCCACAGCAGCTTGCACTGCTTCACAGCTGGGCCTCATCTGGGCACCTCCAAACCCCAAACAAAGAAGAGGAATCTGCAGATCTCTCCATAGCTCCTGCTGGGTAGCCTCAGGCAGAGGCTAAATTAGCACCTCCTTAGATCCAAGAGCCAGTGTACCCAGTGGTCAGAGTGGGACCATCCAGATTACAACTCCTCAGATCCATAAGGAACACACTCAGGGGGCAAACTCAGTGAGCACCAAAGCCCCACTGAAGCAAGTCTTGCCCCAGAAGGGTGTCTTCAGCACAGAAGTTCTCCCACTGCAGACACAGCTGATTCTCACAGCCAATTGGCCTGGAGGTCAATTCCTCCCAGTGATACCTACAACAATCAAGGCTTAACTATAACAAGACTGTGCTCAAAGCCCACAAGGGGGTGCACCAAGAGTATCCACCTCAGGTAATTGGGGAGGCTGAGCCACTGGGCCCTATAGGACACCTAGCACACAAAGCCACTCTATCAACACAGGGAAGCATAAAATTGCAGAGACAAAGAAACAGGTCACAAATGACAGAAATAGTGGAAAGCAAACTACTGGATATAGAGTTCAAAACCACACTTTTAAGGTTTTTCAAGAATTTTCTAGAAACTGCCGATAAATTTAGTGAGACCCTCAAGAAATCTAGTGAGACCCTTGAGGTTATGAAAAAGGACCAACTAGAAATTAAGCATACACTGACTGAAATAAAGGATACTATACAGAGTTCCAACAGCAGACTAGAGGACCGCAAGAATCAAGTCAAAGATCTGAAATACAAAGAAGCAAAAAACACCCAACCGGAAAAACAAAAAGAAAAAAGAATCCAAAAATATGAAGATAGTGTAAGGAGCCTCTGGGACAACTTCAAACGTACCAACATTCGAATTATAGGGGTGCCAGAAGAAGATAGAGAGCAAGATATTGAAAACCTATTTGAAGAAATAATGACAGAAAACTTTCCCTACCTGGTGAAAGAAATAGACTTACAAGTCCAGGAAACACAGAGAACCCCAAACAAAAGGAATCCAAAGAGGACCACACCAAGACACATCATAATTAAAATGCCAAGAGCAAAAGGCAAAGAGAGAATCTTAAAAGCAGCAAGAGAAAAAGTCACTTACCTACAAGGAAGTACCCATAGGACTGTCAGCTGATTTTTCAACAGAACTATGCAGGCCAGAAGGGAGTGGCAAGAAATTTTCAAAGTGATGAATACCAAGAACCTACAACCAAGATTACTTTACCCAGCAAAGCTATCATTCAGAACTGAAGGTCAGATAAAGAGCTTCACAGATAAGGAAAAGCTAAAGGAGTTCATCACCACCAAACCAGTATTATATGAAATGCTGAAAGGTATCCTTTAAGAAGAGGAAGAAGAAGAAAAAGGTAAAGATACAAATTATGAACAACAAATACACATCTATCAACAAGTGAATCTAAAAATCAAGTGAATAAATAATCTGATGAACAGAATAAACTGGTGAATATAATAAAATCAGGGGTATAGAAAGGGAGTGGACTGACTATTCTGGGCGGGGCGGGGGGAAGGGGTGTGGGAGATGCGGGAAGAGACTGGACAAAAATCGTACACCTATGGATGAGGACAGTGGGGGGGGGTAAGGGCGGGGGGGGGGTGGGAACCGGGTGGAGGGTAGCTATGGGGGGGAAAAAGAGGAACAACTGTAATAATCTGAATAAAGATTTAAATTAAAAAAAGAAAAATAATTTAGTAAAGCCATACAATTTAGTGTGATATATAAGATATAACATAGAATTTTTCCAATATATTTTTCATAAACCTTGTCCTCAAAAAAAAAGGGGGGAGACGACAAGCATATCCTGAAATTATGCAAAATGTTTATCA